CCAGGACTATGAGCAGCAACCGCCACCCCTGCCCCGTTGCTTCAAGCCATGTCCATATGTCTATAGACCACTGGAGCCCAGGGGAAGAAAGGCTGAGGGGACCGGTCTAGCAGCCAATCAGGACCGAGGATAAGGAAAATATATCTTCTTTATTGGCACCCCCCTAGACCAAAATAAACACTTAACCCTTGCAGTGACGGGGGAGCCCCAATGCAAGGACTCATTGTGAAAATCCTGGAGTTTTTCTTTAACAATGGATGGATCTTTAACAATGGATGGATCTTTAACAATGGATGGATCTTTAACAATGGATGGATCGCTGTAACCGGGTAACAAGGAGAGGAGCCGACGATGAGCGTTTCATAGTCGGAGGCAATAGCGATGTGCGCAAAGCGTTTATGTCGCTGGCGGCAACCGGATACCCGCTGCTATCAATTTAGGGCCAAAAAGATGCTGAGAGTGAGGGTGTAATTGTTAAGAGCAACCGTGTCCTTTCTTCCAGTGACAAAGATTTGTTTTCTTTTTTATTTCCGTTATTGGAAAATTGAGTCCCCTTTATAAAGAGGACCTGTCAGTAGATTTACAAGTCTGCATGAGTACATTCCTGATGTATCGGGATCAGGGATCCAGGCGCATTTGTATCAGTGTTTCAGCACTGTGGCTGAGCACCGCACACCAGACGCTGAGTGATTATTAGCACAGTGTCTGGTGTGAATGGGCACTTATGGTTATTTGCCCCATTGCTAGAAAATGTTACCTCATTTCTAGTTATTTGCTCCATTGCTGGAAAATGTTACCTCATTTCTAGTTATTTGCTCCATTGCTGGAAAATGTTACCTCATTTCTAGTTATTTGCTCCATTGCTGGAAAATGTTACCTCATTTCTAGTTATTTGCTCCATTGCTGGACAATTTTACCTCAGTTCTACTTATTTACAGCCAGTTCTGGTTTTTGCCCCATTGCTGGGCAATCATCTCTCAATTCTACTGTTTGACCCCATTGCTGGTTCATTGTGCCTCAGTTCTGGCTTTTTACCCCATTGCTGGTCAATTTTACCTCAATTCTAGTTATTTACCCCATTGCCGGACATTTCTACATCAATTTTAATTATTTACCCCATCGCTGAGCAATTTTGCCCTGTTTTTGGTTATTTAACCCGAGTTTTGGACAAGTTTACCTCACCTTAGGTGATTTACCCCGGGCCAGAAATGTAACCCGATGCTGCAGTTACCCTGTTTTGGGGCAGTCTGACCCAGTTAAGTTTATTGCAGGTCCACGTATTTAACCCCATTGTTGGACATTTTTTTTACCTCAGTTCTAGTTATTTGCCCCATTGCTGGACAATTTTACCTCAGTTCTAGTTATTTGCCCCATTGCTGGACAATTTTACCTCAGTTCTAGTTATTTGCCCCATTGCTGGACAATTTTACCTCAGTTCTAGTTATTTGCCCCATTGCTGGACAATTTTACCTAAGTTCTAGTTATTTGCCCCCATTGCTGGACAATTTTACCTCAGTTCTAGTTATTTGCCCCATTGCTGGACAATTTTACCTCAGTTCTAGTTATTTGCCCCATTGCTGGACAATTTTACCTCAGTTCTAGTTATTTGCCCCCATTGCTGGACAATTGTTTCTGGATATTTAACCCGAGTTTTGGACAAGTTTACCTCACCTTAGGTGATTTACCCCGGGCCAGAAATGTAACCCAGTGCTGCACAGTAACCCCGTTTTGGGGCAGTCTGACCCAGTTCAGTTAATTTACCCCAATTTTGGGTAATTTACCCCACTGCTGACACGTGTAAAAGCTGCTATGTCATATTTCACATTCACTGACAGGCTCGCTACAATCACATTCGCAGGTAAGTTTGTGTGTGAATGAACAGGAATTCCCACCTTTTACCAATCCCAGCACAGCTGACAGGCCGGTTTCCATGGTGACAAGTTCCAGCCCTCGACGCTCACAGTGGTTGGCAACGCTCTGAAGACGTTTGGCCAACCAAACGAGCCGAGCTCTCGCGAGAAGACAACATAGCAGTCGCGCTTCCCGGCATGCCTCTCGCAGGAAGATGAAGGCTGAGGCGGCCATGTTAGATTAGGCCCGCGTACACAAGAGCTGAGAGGAAGCAGGAGAACTTCTCATCCCGTGCTTCCCCTCAATCCGCATCCATCCGGCCGCGGAGTCACCATGAGTGGCGGGACGCCGTACATCGGCAGCAAGATCAGCCTCATCTCTAAGGCGGAGATCCGATATGAGGGGATACTGTACACCATCGACACCGAGAACTCTACGGTGGCCCTGGCCAAAGGTATAGAGGGGGGAGGGGAGAAGAGAGGGGGGCACCTCCTCAGGGAACAATGCCCGGCCTATAGCAGCCTGCTAGGGGGGGCCCTGACAGGAGGCCCTGTTACAGCCTTTCACAGCCCAAAATGGGGGTCCTGCAGGCCTATGTGGTGACAGGAGGGATGTGTGCTGGAACTTGTAGTTCTGCCAGTGCTGGAGGCCTTCGAGGGATTTGTGAGAGAGGACACTAACACTAAGTCTGGATATGTCCTTTATTTATACACACATTGTAAATACTTTGGTGTTCTGAGAGGAAAAGTAAATGTCTGGCATTGGTAGTTTGAGTCTCTGCCCCTCCCACAATGGTGAGATTTCCCCCAGTAGTTGGTGTCTCTGCCCCTCCCACAATGGTGAGATTTCCCCCAGTCGTTTGTGTCTCTGCCCCTCCCACAATGGTAAGATTTCCCCCAGTAGTTGGTGTCTCTGCCCCTCCCACAATGGTGAGATTTCCCCCAGTAGTTTGTGTCTCTGCCCCTCCCACAATGGTGAGATTTCCCCCAGTAGTTTGTGTCTCTGCCCCTCCCACAATGGTGAGATTTCCCCCAGTAGTTTGTGTCTCTGCCCCTCCCACAATGGTGAGATTTCCCCCAGTAGTTTGTGTCTCTGCCCCTCCCACAATGGTGAGATTTCCCCCAGTAGTTTGTGTCTCTGCCCCTCCCACAATGGTGAGATCCCCCCCAGTAGTTTGTCTCCGCCCCTCCCACAATGGTGAGATTTACTCCCAGTAGTGTCTCTGCTCCTTTTTCTTTTTGGTATCGAGTACCGATATGTTTTTTTTTTCCTGGTACTCGACAATATCGATACCGGAAGTCCCATTCAGGAAGCCAGGCGGCATGTAATGACTCGCTGCCCGGCTTCCTGATTGGTCGGGAGGCTGGCCAATCAGTAAGCCGGACGGTGAGTTATTACTGCCTTCAGCCTTATAGCTGGCCTCAGGCTCCCTCGTCACCTGGTGATGAGGGAGCATGGAGCGGGCTTCCAAGCCAATCGGGAAGCTAGGCGGCGAGTCATTACACGGAGCCCGGCTTCCTGATTGGCCAGAAAGCCGGCTCTATGCTTTCTCGTCACCTGGTGAAGAAGCATGGAGACGGCTTCCCGGGTAATCGGGAAACCAGGTGACGATTCATTACACGCCGCCTGGCTTCCTTAATGGGACTTTCGGTGTCGGTGCACCCCCTAGTTTTATCCATGGTATGGCTGCACTGTTTACATCTTTAAAAAAGAGAAAAACTTCCCCTTTTGTACTGTTTGTGGTCACATGATTGCATACCCTCCATGTAATGCTCCTCTCTGCGGGTGGAGACTGTCAGCAGGGATATTCAATGCTAGTATCAGTGCCCATACCAACTATTTGGGTGAGTACTCCTACTTGCCCAAATGCTCTAATACCAGATATCTCCCTCTGCGAGGGAACACGGAGCTGGCTTCCCATCCAATCAGGAAGCCAGGTGATGATTTGCCTCCCAGCTTCCTGATTGGCCCGGGAAGCCAACTCCATGCTGTTGGGCGGCCTTGATGCTGATTTGCCGGGAAGCCGACTCCATGCTGTTGGGTGGCCTTGATGCTGATTTGCCGGGAAGCCGACTTCCCAGCAAATTTGTAGTTCCAGAACAGCTGGAGGCCTCCCCCATGCCCTTAGGAGGTCTATACCATATCTGCTATGAACTCTCCGGTCTGACGTGGGCCTGAGGTCGCTTTAGTTGGTAGTGAAAACTCCAACTATCCACCGCATGGAGGGGGCACTGCCTGGGCACTTCTATCCATTCTCTGTAGCTATCACGTTGTTGTGTTTTGGAAAATGGTTCTAGAAATGACCGAAAAGTATCCCGTTGTTGTTCTTTTTAAGGAAAAAGGGAAACGTATAAAACACTTGGTAATAGTCGCCTGTACAAAGCACGCCATTTTACTGTTATGGGGCTCTCCATTGCCAGTTTTTTACAGAGCCGGGGTCCCTTCACTGGTCAAATGGAACAAGAGAAGGGGCCCCCAGCGATGCCGAAGCCTGGATCATGAACCTTTCGTGAGGAGTATGAATTACCTAAGAGCTTGCTGTGACCTCAATGGGTACTTATGTAAATGATTCGAGGGAGGGAGGGGATCTCTGGGTCAGTCCGGCTATCAGATTGGTGTCTCGAGTGTCACCGGTTTGGGAATCCGCTTGCTGGAGCTTTTCTCTGCCTGGAATAGAGATTTCTGACCCATTTAAAGGGATAACGTCATTTCCTTTGATGTGACCTGTACTGAGGGGAATACGGAGGTTTGCCATTGTTGACCTCCGCGTTGTGGAAGTACCGGATGCTCGGTTGTCTTGCTGATCTTCAGTCGTGATACTTTGTTACTGTGTCTCCAGAACGAGGATATAGATGTGTATATATTCGCTGCATAAATCTAGTCCAGTGGTAGCCATACTCTGGCCCTCCAGCTGCGGTAAAACTACAAATCCCATGATGCATCTCTCTGGGAGTCGTGGTTGTGAGGATCTTGCAATGCCTCAGGGGAATTTTGTAGTTCCACCACAGCCGGAGTTTGGCTACCCCTGATCTAGTCCTTGGATCAGAAAATATCGAATTCAGAGGATCAGCATGACGGCTACCTGACGTTTTTAGTAGTTCAGTGATGGCGGCCTTTATATTTCTTTGCCTAAAAAGGTTTACTGTAAATCCTTAAATCAGCCTAAACAGAGAGTTTTATTGCTGAAGATGTCATAGAGGAAGTGGGACCCCCTCCCTCACCACATCCCACCAACCAAGGCACAGGTATAAAGACCTACTTCCTAATACAGTGAAGAAGACTAAAATAGTTACTTCTGCAGTGAGGTTTCCCATGCGCTGCAAGGGTTAAATGCTTCTTTTAGTGTAGGAGGGTGACGCAAAAAGTAATTCCACTTGCCCCTTATACCATGCCCCCCCAGCAGCCAGCCATCCTCCTTTCTCTCTGACGCACCTCGTAATGCAGGACTGCTGGTCCTGCATTGTACTTAAAGAGAAGCGGCCTAGGGTGGCTGTCGTGGATCTAGAATCAGAAACTGGCCTTGAGTTGAACTTTTGCAGTCTCTGTAAAGCAGGGCTCAGACTAGGAGAGTTAAAAGCAGCACAAGGAGCCAATACGTTGTAGTGCAACACAAAGGACTACTGCTTATAGTAGTAGAGAGCAGAGTGACAGGGATGAGGTTATTAGTCGTCTTCTCATTTCATTGTCCAATCACAGGCTGAGGGGAGGAACAAGACCTGTAAGTGTTACTTAGCAGCAGAGGATAATCAAGTCTCCTGCCCTGCCACAGGACTATCCTTTGTTTTGGGGCTGTGTAAATATTGGGACTGGATGGACAGATATGCAAATCCTTTGGCAGGTATTGTACCACCTATATGTGTATTTAGCTGTGTGCCTGGAGTTCAGCTTTATTCAACATTCCATTCAGACAGCTATGCTGACCTCTCCCAGTCCCTATAAACGTGTATAGCATGGCTCCTGATCATGTGATGTCAGCTTTGTCATGGCGATCACATGGCTTTGTTGGTAAACAAATGTCTATTTTTTTTTTTCTGTGCATGAAGAATTAAATAATTTTTAAAGGAGACAATGATCAGCCCAGGAAAATATGAGCACTGTAGTTATTGTTCTTTCCTTTGTTTTCAGTCCGTTCTTTTGGAACCGAGGATCGTCCAACGGAGCGGCCTGTAGCTCCTCGAGATGAAGTGTTTGAGTACATCATATTCCGGGGCAGCGATATCAAAGACCTCACTGTGTGTGAACCTCCGAAGCCCCAGTGCTCCCTGCCTCAAGACCCGGCCATAGTCCAGGTACATACGTCTCTTGTCAGATCACCAAATTGCTGCTTAGTCTTTTACCTGGTACATAAATAAACTGCAGTGTTCTATTAACATTGATCAGAGGAAGATAGAGAGATACAAAGTAACATTGTTTATACACATTGATTAGAGGGAGATCGAGAGATACAAAGTAACATTGTATATAAACATTGATCAGAGGGAGATAGAGAGATACAAAGTAACATTGTTTATAAACATTGATCAGAGGGGGGATAGAGAGATACAAAGTAACATTGTTTATAAACATTGATCAGAGGGGGGTAGAGAAAAAAAAAAGTAACATTTTTAATAAACATTGATAGAGGGGGGGATAGAGAGATACAAAGTAACATTGTTTATAAACATTGATCAGAGGGAGATAGAGAGATACAAAGTAACATTGTCTATAAACATTGATCAGAGGGGAGCTGAGAGATACAAAGTAACATTGT